TGACAATTCTGTGTGATAGATAAATGATGAAACAATTCGCAAAGTTCTTCCCAATATTAATTAAAAAGTGACCAAATGCTGAAAATTGCAAACATGTCATGTATATTGTAAGGAATATTAATCAAGGTCTGACAAGTTCAGCAGTGGTGAAGTATCACATTTGGAACAGAGAATTAAAACAGCCTCTTGGTGATTTTGTTGTACAACTGACAATAATATATTGAAATAATTGATATATATGCCTTTTTTTCCCCTTCGAGGAACAGAAACCACTTACTGAAATAAGAAAGATCTGTCCATTTGGTACAGCAGTACTGTGAATTTGAAGAAACCTAACGGCAAATTGTGCAATTTATATCTTCAGGTCTTTGTACAATTGCCTGTCTTTTGTTTTTGTTTGTTTTTTAAAAATGTCTGGAGTTTAAATTTAGTATTATACTCAAGAATGTACAGGAACAGCTACATATGATTAGCATACTTATCATTGTAATAAATAATATTGTAAGATGTAATAAGAACTGTAGGGACGTGGGTGGCGCTGTGGGTAAAACCTCAGCGCCTAGGACTTGCCGATCGCATGGTCGGCGGTTCAAATCCCCGCGGCGGGGTGCGCTCCCGTCGTTCGGTCCCAGCACCTGCCAACCTAGCAGTTCGAAAGCACCTCCGGGTGCAAGTAGATAAATAGGGACCGCTTACCAGCGGGAAGGTAAACGGCGTTCCGTGTGCTGCGCTGGCTCGCCAGATGCAGCTTGTCATGCTGGCCACGTGACCCGGAAGTGTCTGCGGACAGCGCTGGCTCCCGGCCTATAGAGTGAGATGAGCGCACAACCCTAGAGTCTGGCAAGACTGGCCCGAATGGGCAGGGGTACCTTTACCTTTAATAAGAACTGTTGGGTGTATTTAAGAACTATAGAAGCTGATGGAAAAATAAAGCACCATCCATCCCTTCTTTGTGTACGAGAGGGAATCCCCATAACGTCTGAACGTGCTGCTACTGGGTTAGGTTCATTGCAGCTCACCTGCTTAGCTGTGAGAAGCGCATGCTTTTTATGATGGTAGCCTGCAAGCCAATGCTTGAAGATGACTGGGACCTCTGGATACATCTATAAAAGGCTTGGTATACTTGGTATTTGGAAAGGGTTGAATTGTACCCCATATTTGTAAATTATCTTGTATTACTATATGGAGTTGTAAGGTTAAAATACGAGGTGGCCTAAGGAAATAGATTTAAGGGACTGTGTACTGTATACTAATGAAGATGCCTAGATAAAATAATGCAGCATTCTTCATAATTTCAAGATAAAATATTGGGCCAGTAATTTCATTTAGGCTGATCATTTCTCTTCAATCTTCTGTCATGCTTAGCATCATAGTTTTGTACATCAGCCTGTTTTTGCCTGGGGGAGGGTCTTTTTAATTGTTAACCACTTAAAACATACAGATATTTAAAATTGTGCTCAGAAAAAAAAGGAAATTAAATTGTGGTGGTGTGTAAGTTGTGTAATTTGGAAAAGATGCTGCCCAAGATTGAAGTTGTTTTGTTGAGCACATTCTCCCCTGTCATGTTCCTTTGTAAAGCAAAAAAACAAAAAACTAGTTTATCACAGTGGCTGGTTCCTGGCTAGGTCTGAAGAACAGACAACATAATTTCAGTAATCATCAACTAATTGGCCTTGTTCTTTAAACATTTATAATTACAGAAGTATTTTCTTCCTTCAATCCCTGAAGTGGTCTGTTGTCTCCCGCATGGATTATGAACATTTAACTATTATCTTGTAGATTATCAATACATAATTAAAATGCTATTGGAGATAAAGCATCATTCATTTCCCCCCCAAAGGGTAAACACAGTGGGGAAACAGATCATTCTGTTAACTGCAAGTTAAGTTTAAAAAAAGAATATCAAAACAATTTATGCCAGGGAAGGGCGGGGTGGTGGTGGTGATGATGGAACACCTCTGGAAATGATGGGACTATCTAGTTTAATATGCTTGATAATTTTTCATTTCATTTCAATTTGTATATCACCTAGGTGGTTTGCAACAACAGACTATAAGAATCACACACCTTATAATAATCTGATCCAATACAAAAAGTCGTAATATAATAAAAACATAACTTTAAAATAAATAACTCATATGAAATAAAGTAATGTTCAGTAATCCATTTCCTCCATTGCCTCGCTGACAATTCCATTTCCCAGAAGGTGGAAGAAGCAACAAGGAGTTCATCTGTCTTGGACCTGGTCCTCACCAACTGATCAGGAACTCATTGATGAAGTTGAAGAAGTGGGAAACTTGGGAGGAAGTGACAGTAAGAGCTGTTAAATAGTGGAACAGACTCTCTTGGATAGGGTTGCCATATTCTGTAGAGCAAAAAAGAAGACACATTTGCCAACTTCTACCTTAAACTATGGATCACTATGACAACTCTACCCATGAAAAAAAGAGGACGTGTCCTAGAAAAAGAGGACATATGGCCACCCTACAGGTGGTAGTGTTAGAGGTTTCATGGCTTTCTGTCATTGATGTTTTAGTTGGGTCTATGATTCTATAATACAATAGTACACAATAAAAGTAAATATAAAAATATTAGCAAATAGTTATACAGTAATTCAGTCTTAACAATTACAATAAATAATTACTAAACTATAATCAATAAAAAACAGCAAGTTGCAATGCATGAAATACCACAATACATACAAAACCATGTAGAAGAATTAAATTGAGAAACAAAGATACACAACTATTTTTTAAAAAAATGTATCCTGAACTCCTCTTCTCCCTTTCCAGCTTCTGCTGTTCTTAAAGTCATGACTTGGGAGAGGCTATTGCTCAGATAGACTTGATTGAGGGTACAGGAGGTGAGGCTCTCTTGCCCTTCTTTGCCTTTCCTTACTGAGGGAGCAAGGCGGCAGCATGCTGGGGCAGAAGTAGATGTTAAAGGTGTCATTTCTCTTAAGTAGCCCTTTCTCCTCCTCATCTCTGTTTCTGCTGCCTATTCACTCATCATGTCAGACTGGTTGAATATAATGCACAGGGCAGCAACTCTGTTCTGAAGGTTCCTCAGGCTGGGGGTAGGGGCAGCACAAGTGAAACCAGTCACCCCATGAGAATAGACAATGTCTCACACCCCTTACAGTTCTTCCTTTGGAAATACCCCCCCCCAAAGGTTCCTGGGGCTGGAGGGTAGGGCAATGGAGGTGGGGGAAACCATGGCCAGCACAAAGTCTCTTGCCCCTCGCAGAATAAATGTTCCATTTCTTCCATTAAGAACCCTCTACAGTGAACCCATTGACACTATTATATTTTAATATATTCTAAAACTCAGTTTGATCTAATTATTGAGCCTGGTCCTGAATACTAAATATAGCTTTACAACACTTTGAACTACACATTAGAAAATGCTGGTTCTCAACATTCTTCTCACGTGACGTTTTGTACTTCAGATTCCCGAGTACAAAATACAGTGCCTTGCATCTATTGTAACTGGTGTACTTGCGGTTAAACATCTGCTTTTATCTGCCAAAAAAACTGGTGACAATTGAAACAGGATAGAGCCTCAGCTGGGATTTTTTTTGCTGAGAACTAGCCTTTTAAGCAAATGTGTACAATTCACGTTGACGCAGGGCATATGTGTTAAACATCATTGGAAGCCCCCTATCTGTCAAGCCTGCTTTGTTCCTGTTTAATTTGATAGACAAAAAGGCACAAGATGCACTCTTCAGAGAACTAATTCTATTTCTAATGTTGGCTGTTCTGTTGCTCATTGGATCAAACTAGGAAAATAGTGCTGAAATAGTCAACTCCACCAAGCACTCATTTAGAAAAAATGTAGGATAATCTGATGATGGGGGGAAAATTACATACCAAGGAAGACAAACTTATGACCAAGGCTGCCCTGCAAATTATCCCATTACTTGTTTACTGTTTTTAAAGAGGCAGTTTATAACCATCAAATGTACAGTACATTTTATTCAAGTTCTATAGTTCATTTGAATTATATGATGAGCAGCTAGTACAGCATATTTTAATCAGATTGTTAGATGAAGGAAACAAGTTACTCTTAGAGAACCAAAGAGGAGAGCCAGTGAATTCTGTCTAGGGTACATATATGCAGATTGGAATAATAATACAGAGCCATTGTCCCTAACAACTCCTGCTAATGTGATTCTAATGAGTGAAAGGTTTGGTGGATAAATTTTGGCTAACATTATAGACATGTTACATGAATGTAAGGGAGCAGCTACACATAACTGAAGAGAAAAAGAGGTGCCAGTACTCACCATGAATTTGGTACAGTTAAGTGCCACACTTTTTAACAACAACAAAAAGGTGCCAGCACTGCATACCTTTGCGTACCCCCTGAAGAAGAAGAAAAGTACTGCAGAAGAGCATTCTGGAAAGCTCATGCTTGATCCAGCCAAAACAGGCATATTAGTTTAAGAACTGACTTCTCTTACCTCTTTGTCTGCAGTAGTGAACAGTACAAAGAAAGTTATGAATTGGAAAATAGTTCGCTTGCATTCATGCAAATTGCTGCTCTGGGTCACAACCTTTTTCTCTGTAGGGAACTCTACCACACATAAACATTCTGTATATGATACACTGTTGGGTTTATGATATGGTTCATGATCTAATTTATGCACCCTAAAGGATGCTTTGTTTCCTTTCTTTGGCCCCTAAATATAGCATCAACATTTCTATAGGCTTCTCATAACTAATATTCAGAGAATTGTAATTAATGATTAAGTACAGTCTTTATGGATCTTGCTGCCTACTCAGTCACATAAAGAGACTTGCTCTGAAACCCATAAGCAGCTATATAATATGCAACTGTAATGTGAATAATTATTCCTTTGAAAGTCCTATAATTATGGTTCCTGAAGCAGTCTTATTATTAAGTCATCTTAATAGAAACTCAAAGCAAAATTGCCTTGAGTTTTGTGATGATATAAATATTGTTCACTGAAAACTTGAGTGCTTTGTCTCTCTTTACAGTGCAGCAGAATAAATACGTGGTTGCAGGGATTTCATAGAAAACTTCCAGTGTGGTCTTTTGCCCAGCTTAAACCCACTAAGGCAGGACAGAACTACCACTATGGAGGAGGACAACACCCCAACTAACTGAGGAGTACAAATCTGTCTTGCCCAGAGATTCACTGGTGGAGCACGATCAAGGGTGAGACCTCATTAGCTCAGTGTTACCCTAACCCTTCTTGTTTCCCTTGTTGGTTATGCTCCTAGGACAGGCTGGGTAGCCAGTTGGGATGATGTTTGAAAGAGGACATGCAATGGAAATTTTACTGGAACAATGACCAGAAGACACTGGCTGTTGATCAAATGATTACAGGAGAAGTGTGGCTGGAAAGAGTAAAGGGAGGATGTTGAAGGAAAGGTGCCATGGAGTATGACTGAGTCATGAGTCAGCTAATTACCTGCATTGGCCTTTTCATTCATGCACTTTCTGGCTACCTAGATTCAGGGTTATGTTTCTCTTCCTAGTCTTAGTTCCTAATAGCCCATAAAGGCTGGGGTGTTTTCTGTGCTAAATATGTGCTTTCTCACACATCTGCAGCTGCTTATTGACCATGCATGGGACTGAGAGGAGGGATAAAGAAATGGGGTGCTAAAGGAATTTTTGGAAACTTTTTAAGCAGGTTGAACGGTAATGAAAGTAAAGACAGAGTGAAGCATTTTTTAAAGTGTCTTTTGGAAAGGATGGTTCAACCATCAGTTCATTTGCAATTCTAGTGTTAAACAAAAAGGTAGATAATTGGGGCACATTCCTGATCCTTAAAGCGTGGAGGATTAGAAAAGTTAGGTTTGAACTTCCCCAGTAAGTTATGTGTTGTATTTTTATATTATTGTGGGCTTCATACTGATTCCAGGGATTAGCAGGTCTTCACAGGAGCTGGTATGATCATCTACTCCTCTTTCTTTTATATCCTCTTCCAGCTGCTGGGTTTTACAATGTGGGAAAAGTGGGCCATTCTTGACATAGTTATATAGCGGACTAAACATTTTTGCCCCATTTGATGGCCTCAAAAGATCACCAAGATGGGGAGGGTAGAGGGTGCACAGGGGTTGAACTTTTCTGCAAGAAACTGTTCCCCATTTTAGTTCGTCTTTACTATTTAGTTTCAAACCACTATGCTTTGCATATTAGCTAATCCTGATACTAGGTTCATGTTAAATGTTAAATCTCAGCAAGGGGGATACTCTGATGGTTCCTTTGTCATTCCTTTCTAGCATTCCTGGCCCTTCAGAGATCTTAGGCAATATTTCCTGCGGCTTCCTTAACAAGATAAATCTGCTGGATTTCTGTTGCCCTATGGCTCCCACACATTTGCATGTGCCAGAGGAAAGTGGGAGTACTTAAACTTAAAACAGTTCATGGTTCCTGAATTTTAAGTTGATGCAGTTCTTGACAGCAGATAGCTTATTGAACTTGTAAATAAATAGCTTCTCCCAACAAATGTCCTGAAGCAATTTACAAGAATAATTTGCAAAATAAAATAAAATACAGTGATAACTTTTTAAAAAATACATAGGCATGAAAGTAAAAAAATCCAATCATCGGTGCTGCCCAGATGCTTGAGAAAACAAATGGATCTTTGCCCATGCCCAAATGATGACAAAGTTGGTGCCAGGCAGGCCTCACTGGAGAGAGCATTGTATAGACAGGAAACTACTACAAAAAAGGCCCATTCTCACCACTTATCAGCAATGAGGTGCAAGAACAAAAATGGTTACTAGTACCCATCCTTAGAAACTAAAATTCATCCATTAACCACAGACCAGATAGCACTCTGGATGCCTCTAGAACCAGGGGTGCCAACTTTAATAAAATATTAAAGGTAAGCCCTACCCCACATAATTTATTGATCACAAGATGCAGCACACATACACACACACACTATTTGAATGGCAATGTCCATCAACTTTGAGGGGGACGGCCCCCTCAAATATTTTTTTGGGGGGTGAAGGGACCTTGTTGTCCTCTAGGACAGTGTTTCCCAACCGGTGTTCCGCGGCACACTAGTGTGCCGTGAGACCTTGCCTGGTGTGCCGTGGGAGGGAGGCGGGAGAGGCGGGGCGGCGGCGGCATCTCCTGCTGGATGCAAATCCAAACATGGCGGGCGCCTCCCTCGCTCCTTTGTAGGCGGACCATCGAGAGAGAAAGAAAAGGAGGCGAAAGAGCGAGAGAAGGCGCCTGCGCGGAAAGAGGAGCGAGCAGTGCGCCTGCGCGCCACGGCGCCCGAGATCGCTTCTCCCCACCGCCCCTTGCTTCAAAAGAGGTCCGGGGACAGCGGGAAGCGCTTCGCACTGCCCCCGGACCTCTTTTGAAGCAAGGGTTTGCGGGGAGAAGCGATCTCCCCGCAGCCCCTTGCTTCAAAAGAGGTCCGGGGGCAGCGGGAAGCGCAGCGCTTCTTCCCCGCTGCCCCCGGACCTCTTTTGAAGCAAGGGGCTGCGGGGAGATTGCTTCTCCCGGTGCTCCGAAGCGGGGCGGGGGGGCGGGAACACCTGCCCCAGCCGCCGCGCTTCGGAACGCTGCTCCGAAGCGGGGCGGGGGGGCGGGAACACCTGCCCCAGCCGCCGGGCATCGGAACGATGCCCCGATGCCGGGCGGTGGGGCGGGAACCTCTCCCCCCGCCGCCGGGCATCGGAACGATGCCCCGATGCCGGGCGGTGGGGCGGGAACCTCTCCCGCCGCCGCCCGGCATCGGAACGATGCCCCGATGCCGGGCGGTGGGGCGGGAACCTCGCACCCCGCCGCCGGGCATCGGAACGAGGTCCTGGACCTCTTCTGAAGGCAGGCGGGGGCAAAAGTCTTTGCTCCCCCCGCCTGCCTTCCCGGGACAGCGGAGACTTCTCCGCTGCCCCGGGCGATCTTAAAATGCTGGTGGGCGGGAGCGAAGCGTTCGCTGCCGACCCCCAGCATTTTAAAATCTCCTCGGGGCAGCGGAGACTTCGCTCCCGCCCGCCAGCATTTTAAAATTGCCCCGGGACAGCAGGGGCTTTTAAAATGCTGGCGGTCGGCAGCAAAGCCCTCCTGTCCCCGGAGCTTGCGGGGCGGGAGGTGGGAAGAAGGGCTTTTCTTCCCACCGCCAGCCTTCAGAACAGCCTTCTGAAGGCTGGCAGTTGGAAGAAAAGCCCTTGTCCCCCCCCCCCCAGCCTTCAGAAGAGGTCGGGGGACAGACTGTCCCCGGACCTGGTCTGAAGGCGGTTTCCCTAGGAACGCATTAATTGATTTTCAATGCATTCCTATGGGAAACCGTGCATCGAAAAACTCGCAAGACGAAAAACTCGCAAGACGAAGAGACTTGCGGAACGAATTAATTTCGTCTTGCGAGGCACCACTGTACTTTTTATATAGTCAATATAGGCACAGAGTTAAATTTTTTAAGATTTTCTAATGGTGGTGTGCCTCGAGATTTTTTTCATGAAACAAGTGTGCCTTTGCCCAAAAAAGGTTGGGAAACACTGCTCTAGGAGTTGGCTCCTATGCCTGGAACATTACCTGCTACAATAACAGACTCCAAGCCCCTATGAAGCTCCTCTTTATTTTTATTATCATTGTTGACAATGTATCCTTTAGTCAATTTTGCATTTGTTTAATTTAATTACTCTTTCGTATATACACTCTGAATAGCAAGCAGGACCTAACCATGAAACTGGTTTTACTTAGTAATGCTACCACCACAATGTATCTTGCAATGATAATACAGCATTAGAAAGAATAGCACAACATACAAAAGTTAAGGTTTTGAGAGAAGGAAACTGCTCTGTCTTCTTAAATGTATTTTTGGGAAATATCCATATATACACACACTGTATTCAGAAAGAGCTGCCATCATTAACTGATAGCCTGCATTCTTCAATTTCATTGCTTTCTTAGTGAGTTATAAACAGAAATAACTCTTTCTGTTTATTGTATAACTTACAGTTCAATTTCAAATTTGGATTTATTGTCCCCTGTATGTATGTTTCTGAGGCATGGAGATTTCACATTTTATAAATAATTCTGAAAAAGAGAGTTGGTAATGACAAAAATCAACATAGCATCATTTTAAAAGAATGATTACTGGAGAGGGAGATACTAGGATAGGCTACAAAATATATAGCAAGTTTTGCTGATCATAAGCACAAAGGGAATAAAAAACTCAAAAAGTAAGAGGTAGTCAGATAATATGATCAATGATGATTTCTAAACAGACGTTTTTACCAAAATAGTTTTCACATTTGTCTTTTTAATGTTTAATGATTGCTATAACCCTGGTCTTTTGATCCAAGAAAGATATGAAGAACCTATGGAAACTACAGTATTTGAACATATATTTAGCTGCCCACTAAGCCTTTAATCCCTACATTTTTATGTTCAGATAAAGAGGCACAAAAAAGCAATTTTAGCCCTGAAAGGAATACTGAAAATAAGTGTTGAAAGGAATAGTATGGTAAATCAATCAGCACTGAATCAGTTCTGAAGGCATTGGATTAAAAGGAGTGTCTGTATGGCCTGTTAAGTGAAGGACAGCATGTTACCTTCTTGAATGACCACAAGGGCACTTCATGATAATAGTTAAGTTATCATTCACTGCAACACTTTTCATTAATCTCATAAAATGAAATATAGTAGTGAAAAGGCCAGTGGTCATCAACAAAGAGAGCCAAGCACGAGCATTTGCAGATCAGCCCTAAAGATCTATGGAGAGACAGATGTCATAGCCAGATTTCATTCACTTTTATAAACCTAAAACAGTATACTATCAAGGTGGGTTTAAAAATATAAAAATCCAAATTACATTATAGTATTAAAGTTTAGATAATTTGCAGTTCTAAAAATCAATATGTTTTTAACTTGCTCTTGGATTGTATTGTTTGTTTTTTTATTGTTTATATTGTAAACCTTTGACTACAAACAACAAAGCTCAGACAGAGATGTGCTCTTGCATTTAAACTCCCTTGAAGCCTTTAGCTTTTCTTGCCTCTTCCTTCCTTTTGCAATTGTCATTATATGGGAAGAAAGGCTAATTTTACTTTTTTTTATTTATTAGCAACCAGTGTGGTGTGGCGCTGTGAGGCCATACTCATTATATTGGGATAAGACAAGGCCATGGCCCAAGCAGCTTGGGTGTTATCATTCCAGATATCATAGAATCATAGAGTTGGAAGAGACCA